AATGCAGAAGCTCGTGGTTAACTTTGTCCTTACGTATTGCAATCATATATACTCTTTTTACATTTCACGGACGACATCTCGTATATTTTTTGGACTATTGGGATTAACTCCCATTTTAGAAATTTTCACCTGATTAACAATTTATCAATATACTAATCATACCACAAAATGAATAAACATCTAGCCTAGCCATCCATGGTCTAGGCTATCTGTAACACCCTGTGTATGCCCGGTTTGTTAACATGCCATCATATTAAGCCTCGCTTAATTAAAAATGTGGAATATTCTTTTTCTTTTCAATTATGACGTCATTATCATTACCAAGTTGAATTACTTAATTCATTTTCAAAACATTGCCTGTATGTAAATGCAAAAGACAGATATCTATACTGAATAACCTCATATCATAAATAAGATCATTAACTGAGTCTCTAGTCACGACACTACAACACGTAAGCCGGACAACCCTGATAGTTTATACAACTCAAATCTAAACAACGATACATAATCAAATGTGGCATGGACAAACCCCATGCTCACCAAATAAGGCAATGAGGCCCAACCAAGTCTCAATTCAATAACATAACATGAAACTAAGAGCATAATAGCAACAGGCATAATCCAACATCCAACATAAGCAGCAAAATAGCATATAAATCAGCTAAGCTTCGGCCTCCTGCTGCTGAGGTCTCAACTCCCGCATTACCTGAACCTGAAATATATGCCCCAAATGTGGGGTGAGATCTCTAAACAAAAATCTCAGTAAGACAAGGGGTCCTTAAGGATCTTCCACCCCAAGCTCACTTACATGTGCAATATAAGTTTTAAAAGCAGTAATTCAATATCAGTTCCAAAATCAGTGCAATGCAGCAGATAATCATGTCATGTGTGTTATAACTAATCTACTGGCCAGAGAAATACAGGAATACGTCTATTACCCACACTAGTGCAAGACGCCACTTGCACCCACCCACAGTGTCACTGTCTTGTATGACGCCACATACTCAGACTTACCGTCTAAGTGGAACAACAGATACATATTATAAGCAATTGCACATAAAGATCAACAACATTTTCAATTATCAAAGCATGTAAACACATCATGCATATAAACCATCCCCCCATGGGGTATGGTGGAACCACACAATGGCTAAACCGAGGACACGAAAGCTTACCTTGCAAGCTAGCTATCCAAGCCAAGAGTCCACACAAGCTCAAGTCCAAACACAGCAGAATCACAATCTGTTTTGTACCAGCAATCATATCAACAACTATAGCTCATAAGCATATAACATAAAGACAACGCTTCTTTTTTACGTTTCATGTCTTTAGGCTTCTCACAAAGTCTTAAGCCCTTAATCACTTAGATTCTGACTTAATAAGTCATTACAGAAGTCCTACTTCGTCAATCAAGGGTCCACAAACCCCTAACTCAGTTATGTATGAGCAGTACCGTTACTGTTCACGCAAACCCGAAATATTCGGATATATGTCGGGGACATATCTGGATATCCCATATCCGGATATCTTATCCGGATATGCATCTCCGGATATCACAAGACCCCATATCTGGATATTTCGCGACAGAATGCAGATTCTGCATTTCGCGAAGATATCCATTAAAGGTTGTGTTTTTAACACTTCTAATCGTCCAAGAACCCATTTTTAAGCATCTATAGTTCAGTGTACATACTAGTTACTAAACCAACTCGTTAACATGCCAAGGTTCAATTTTTAAGCAAGGAAAACTCAAAACAATTGATGATGCTTACCACCCAAGCCCCAAATAGAGACCAAAGTTGCTCTTGGAGCTCACCACTTGGCCACAAAGTCCAGACCTCAAGGGTGCACGAAAATGGAACACAAGACTTTGTTTTTCTTCACAAAGGTTGACACTTGCAGCTTCAACAACCAACATAATGGCTCCCAACACCCAAAAAAAGAACTCAGCCCTCTAAACTGACTTGACACAGTCACCACACTCAGAAAAATGCTCCTTTCACACTCACAATGATCTCTCTCATTCACGCAAGGTATTTAGTGAAGAGAAATGGAAGAAAAGAGGTCACAATGCTCACAAAATGGATGAAGAAGCAATGGAAGAGTGCACAAGCTGACCAGCCACCCAAGAGTCACGTAGAAAACTGATATGGCCTAGGGTTTAGAGCCAAAAAAGAGTATTTATAGTGGTTTAAGTCTTAAACACACAATATTAGCACTAATAGCTACGCTTAGCATTTTAATCCCAAACTTAGGATTCTGAACCTACTCATTTTTCTAATATTTTTCATATTTTTATTTTATTTTTCGCAGCACTTTTCCGGTACGTGCTTTTCCATAGCCAGTATCAGTTCTGGCACCAGTTCTCATTATTTTGACTTGAAACTTGTTTTACAAGTCTTATATATTATTATAGTGACATATACACACTTTTCATAATTTTATTGGATACTTCATCGATACGCATTTATACCGAGTAGCAGAACTGGTATCTGCACTTTTCGTCAAAAAAATGACTTTCAACATTATTATTCACTTACCCTATTTATTTAAGCCATATCATAATTATTATGGTCAATTATGGAATTATTTCCTAATTCTCATATTTATTTAATTAATTTCCTGAATTAACGGTAGGGTCTTTACACTATCTCGTAGTACTATAATCTCCAATGTGTTCCTCTCGAAATTTTTCACAAATTTGGCTTTGGAACGAAGTGATTTGGAGGTCTCTAGCTCTCTCTATGAATTTTGAAAGATTTCACTCAAAATCTTCTTTTTTTTCTCCCTCTTTGTCGAGTCCTGGAAGACGAAGAAGACATACAAATTTTTTGTCACTTTTCACTTACATAGGTTAAGTGAAATTCAACTGGGTAAAGGCTTATCTATCTAGTCACCTCTATTCATTACCAAACTTTACCAAATGAACTAGAATATTTTTCTAGCGATGTTTCTATTTTTACTTTTACCTTTTGGGTAATTTTGCCTACCCACGGTTTCCAGGTCTTCTATAGAAGCTGAGTATGCAGCAACCCCAATCAGCATCAGCGAAGCCAGAGAGGGAAAGATCATTGTTACTGGGAAAAAATAAACCTTTGCTGGGAGATGATTTGATATAACGAAGAATTCTGGTGGCAGCCTGCATATGATTATCCATGGGATTGGAGACATATTGGCTGATTTGCTGAACAGCAAATGATAAATCTGGACGAGTAGTAGTAAGGTATAGCAGACGTCTTACTAATCTTCTGTAGGCTGACGGGTCTGTATAAGGAGACCCTTGAACACGTTGAATCTTCTTAGAAGGGTCCATTGGAGTGGAGCAAGGTTTACATCCAAGGAGACCAGCATCATCGAGTAATTCCAGAGCATACTTTCGTTGATTCATAATGATGCCACTGGAAGAGCGAGAAACTTCAATTCCAAGAAAAAAACGTAGAGGACCTAAATCCTTAATACGAAATTGATTATCTAAATGTTGCTTAACTCGGGAAATTTCAAGAAGATCATTTCCTGCAAGTATGATGTCGTCCACATATACTAGAAGGGCAGTAAAAGAGTTAGTGGAACTTTTGATAAACAATGTATGATCAGCAGATGATGAAGAGTAACCAAGATCAATGAGAGAAGTGGAGAGTTTTGAGAACCATTGTCTACTAGCCTGTTTCAATCCATAAAGGGATTTTTCAAGTTTACAAACTTGATTTGGCTTGGATGTAGAAATACCAGGAGGCAAGACCATGAAGACCTCTTCATTTAAATCACCATGCAAGAATGCGTTATTTACATCCAGTTGCTCTAAATGCCAACCTTTGGCTGCTGTAATTGCCAGTAGAATTCGGACAGTAGAGAGTTTAGCAACTGGTGAATAAGTATCAAAGAAGTCAACACCTTCAAGCTGGGTGTATCCCTCAGCCACAAGTCTGGCTTTATAGCGTTCTATGCTCCCATCCGATTTGTGCTTGATTTTAAACACCCATTTGCATCCAATGGGCTTTTTATCTAGAGGAAGATCAATAAGAGTCCATGTTTTATTCTGCTCAAGGGCCAGAATTTCTGTATTCATTGCTTGGCGCCAACACTCATGCTTGACAGCCTCAGTATATGATTTTGGTTCAACATTAGTGCTAATGGTAAGGCAGTATTTGGTATAGGTAGGGGAATATCTATGGAAATTGACAACAGATGATATGGGGTAAGGAGTTTTAATGTGAGAATGATTACCTGTGGAATCTGATGTTGTTGTTGCTGCAGAAGAAGAAAGATTACAGTAGAAATCATTGAGATATGAAGGAAGATGTCGTTGTCTAACAGGCCTCCCAACAGTAGGTTGAGGAGCAGTTTGTGTTTGGTTTGAGTCAGGTTGATCAATGACATGGTTTGATGGTATGTGTGAGTTATCAGAAATGACAGTAAAAGGGTCAATGACATTAGATGGAGTAGGAAAAACATAATTGGTGTCTAAATGATTATGTGAAGCAGTAAAAGGAAAAGTCAGCTCATGGAATACAACATTTCGAGATACAAAAATTTTATGAGATAAAAGATCTAGGAGCACAAACCCTTTTGTTCCATCTCTGAATCCTAGAAAACACATTTGTGAGCACGAGGTGAAAATTTTGTTCTATGACTTACTAAAGAACTTGCAAAACACAAGCAACCAAGAACTTTGAGATGAATCAAAAGAGGAGGTGAACCATGTAACACTTTATATGGTGTTCTGTGATTTAAAAGAGGAGTGGTAATTCGATTTATTAGATGGACAACATGAGAGACAGAATATGACCACAATTGGAGTGGTAGGTTTGCTTGGAAGAGAAGTGATCTAGCAACATTAAGAGTATGTTGATGTTTTCGTTCGACCAATCCATTTTGTTCAGGAGTTTCAACACATGATTTTTGGTGGAGTATACCATTGTGTTGATAGTAAGTGGACATTTCAAATTCCATACCATTGTCACTCCTTATCTTTTTAACAGTGATGTTAAATTGATTACGAATTAAACTGATAAAACTCTGCAAATGGCTTCGAGTCTCATGTTTATTTCGCATGAAAATAATCCAAAACGAGAATAGTCGTCTACTATAGTAAGAAAGTAACGATATCCTTGGATGCTGGGGATCTTGTATGGTCCCCATATATCTACATGTATGAGTTCAAAAGCATGTGAAGATTTTGTTACACTGGAACTAAAAGGTAACTTTTTCTGTTTTGCATAATGACAGACTTCACAAGGAATAACAGCTTTATTTGGAATGAAAGGAAATTGACATGACATATACTTCAAAGTAGTTTCAGGGATGTGTCCTAATCGAAGATGCCATAGGACAGATTCTTTATTTGAAGAATTGAAATTGAGAGCAGCTTTGTTGGTATGGGTAGGGGCTTCAATGATGAATAATCCCTCTTCCTCTTTAGCTATACCAATCATCTTCCTGGTATTCATCTGAACAATAAAACATTTTGAATCACAAAAGGTTAATGAGCAGGGTATATTATGAGACAATTTGCTAGCTGAAATCAAATTTACATGAAAATCAGGAACAAAAAGCACATTATGAAGGATAAGGTCTTCTGTCAAGTGGATGGTACCAGTAGATTTCGCAAAAACCTTGGAACCATTGGGTAGTGTAATTGAAATGGGTTTAATTGGAGTAAGGGTACTAAAAAGGGAGGAAAGGTGAGTTATATGATCCGTTGCTCCGGTATCTATAACCCACCTAGTGTTGGTGTTACCTGATGGAATGATATTGAAATTTGTAGGATTAAAGGTTGTGGGTTGGATGGCTACAGCATGAGTAAGAGTTGCATTTGCAGAAGAAGTGTGATCAGCATGGACTAGATTGGAGGCATGTGTGTCATTAGGAACACTCGTCGAGGATTGAATCATATCCAGAATTCTTTGATACTGCATTTGAGAAAACACTTCAGAGTTATTCTTCAATTCTTTGGTGTCTCCATCATCTGCTGCTTCCTGCATTATCATGTTAGCAGTTCTAATTTGGCTTCTTTGTTTAAAACCTGGTGGATAACCATGTTTTTCAAAACAGGTTTCCACAGTGTGATTTGTTCTTCCACAGAATGTACACAACCTGTTTCCACGACCTCTACCATTAACATTGGCACGTCCACGGCCTCGAAAGAAATTGCCACCACGAGGCACAAATGAATTACTGGATTCATCACCAGTCATGTAATTTCTAGAGTTACTGGTTCCAACACCAGTCATGAAATTTTTTTGAACTGCAGCATTAGTTAGAACTTTGTATTCTTGATTTAATTCTGAATGAGATTCAGAATTTTGCTGTCTTTCTTGTTGACTAACTAAAGAAAAGATTTCATTCACAGATGGAAGTGGACGCATAAGCATGATTTGAGATCTCACGTTCATGAACTGTTCGTTGAGTCCTCTAAGAAATCTGATAGCTCGATCCTTTTCTCTTCCTTCTCTTACTCGATTTGATAGGCCACATCCACATGGCACAACACACGTATAGGTTGGGAGAGGTTGCAAGGTTTCAAATTCATCCCAGAGTGCTTTAATTTGAGTGTAAAAATCAGAAACAGAACGTTCACCTTGTTGGATACGATAAATCTCCTCCTGAAGATCTGCAATTCTAAAAGCATCTGCCTGTGAGAATCTTTGATAAAGATCATTCCATGCATCTATTGCATTTTCTGAACAAGACCGATTGCAGAATGTTTGCATTTATTGAGCGATGGATCCAAGAAAGCACCATCATATTGCATCTTTGCCAAGGATCGTACATCGCATCCGTGGAAACTAATAAGGACTGGTATTGTGCCATCGATAAAACACAGTTTATTCTTTGAGCGAAGTGCCATTTTCATTGCACGGGACCATGAGTAGTAATTCTTTCCATCAAGAAGATTCGATACAAGAACCAATGCAGGATTTTCACCTGAATGCAGGAAGTATGGATTTCCTGGATTTGTCAGATAATCAAGAAGAGCATTTGCCATGATTCTGACGAGAAAAGATAGTTTCAAGAAAGAAAGAGAGAAACAAACAAGAAAAGAAGGTTCAGATGAATACCAGAGCTCTATATCAGAGCTCTGATACCATATTATGAGCGGAAAAGAAGAAACTAATCATTATCATTCAAGAAGTAATGATTACAATGAAAATCTGATTTATATATCAGATTAGAAAGGTAACAGAATAACAGAAAACTAACTAAGCAACTAACTATCTATTAGTTACAACAGAAAAGGAATAACTGAATAACTAATCTAATTAATAACTAATAAATGACAGCTCAGTATATGTCAATAACTATAAATGTCAATTTTGTAATATCTCACCATGTCTGTCTATTAGGTACAAGATTTTATCTTACTCTGTGTCCAGCACATTTTTATCATCATACTTTAAAACATATACAAGTAATGGGACTTCGAGAAGAAAGGAAGAAAGGAAGAAGGAAGAGACTTCGAGAATCAGAGATGAGAAAAAGAAAGTTTATTCAAGACAATATGATTCAATACCCATCTGGGCTACACCAATCTGATTTATACATCTCCTATTTCTAGTAGTCTGTTATGATTACACGTGTTCTCCCCTAACTAACTTTCCTAGCAATTACTAGCTTACCCCCACCGCATACACTTAGTCACATGTGAACCTTTTGGGTCTCCTTATTTCTCTTCTTGCTCTGCCTTCAGCAAGACTAGTAACATTTGTATTCATTTCCTTCTCATTTGTCTGTTGTCCTTCAATTCCACTCTCAGCTGCTTGTTCTCCCTCTAGTCTTCGTGTTTCATTCAAATCAATACCCACCCCATTAAAACTAACCTTGTCCTCAAGGTTAAAATGTGGATACTGTCTGCGAAAGTCATTGAAATCCTCCCAAGTTTCTACATCCTGAGGTACTCCATGCCAACGTACCTTAAGCTCCACTTGTTGTTGGTCACCCACTGCAATCCTTCTACTGTCAACAATTGCTTGTGGTTCTAATACAGGTAGACCATTAGTGAATACTTCTGGTAACGGAAAAGAGGTGATAGTGTTGTCTCCTTTGTATGGTTTGAGAAGGGAAATATGAAATGTATGGTGTATCTTCGCATGTAGTGGTAAGTCCAATTTATAAGCAACCTGACCAATTCGTTTGAGTATTGCAAATGGACCAAAATACCTTTTGCACAATTTGTTGTTCACCCTTTCTGCTAGTGAGGATTGTCGATAGGGTTGTAGGTGGACCCAAACTAAGTCTCCAACATTGAAGTGAGCCTCTCTTCTCTTGCGATCAGCATTTGCTTTCATAGACTTCTGAGCCTTAAGTAAATTCTCTTGCAACTGTTGTAAAATAGCCTGTCTATCTAGTAGAGTAGTGTCAACTTCTGCTAAGCTGGTAGGAGAAGAAACATAGTTGAGAATAGAGGGTGGATCTCGACCAAAAACAGCCTTGAAGGGTATCATTCCAGCTGAAGAATGGTATGATGTATTATAACAATACTCAGCCCAATGTAATATCTTTGACCACCTCTTAGGAAAATCTGCAACAAATCAACGCAAATACTGTTCTAAGACTCGATTAACAACTTCGGATTGACCATCCGATTGAGGATGGTAGGCTGTAGTTCTCCTCAACTGTGTGCCACTTTGCTCAAATAATTCGACCCAAAATCGGCTAAGAAAGATAGAATCTCTGTCAGTGATAATTGATTTGGGAAGGCCATGGAGTTTACATACCATAATGGCAAAAAGATTGGCCACTGTAGTTGCTGTGTATTTTTGTGGTAAAGGACCAAAGTGTGCTTGCTTGGATAATCGGTCAACAACCACAAGAATAGTGGTAAAACCATGTGAAACCGGTAAGCCCACTATAAAGTCCATTGATAAATCCTCCCAAATGTTGATAGGAATGGGAATTGGTTGGAGCAAACCCGCAGGTGCTTGGGTCTGGTATTTAACTTGTTGACAAACTAAGCAAGAATGAACAAAATTCTTGACAGCAGTGTGCCAATTGGGCCAAAAGAAACTGGCAGATACTCTGGCCAATGTTTTCTGAATCCCTGTATGACCACTCATGAAAGTGGAGTGACTCTCTTGTAACACTTGATGAACTAAAGGAGAAGAAGGATCTAATAAGAGCTTCCCTTTATAAAACAGCAAACCATCATGTACCTTATAGTGCAAAGCAGTAGTAGGATCAGCAGTAATGCGTTGATATAACTGTTGAAAGAAGGGTGAAGACATATTCTCTTGTCTTAAGGTTTCCAACAATTCAACCTGAACAGTGGCAGCTGCCATTAAAGACATGAGAGCAGGACATCGAGATAAAGCATCTGCAGCTTGATTCTCCTTACCAGGCTTATAGACAATGGAATACTCAAACCCCAAGAGCTTGGTCAAGTAATATTGTTGTTCAGGTGTCTGTATCACTTGATCTAAAAGACTCCTCAAGCTTTTCTGATCAGTTCTTATGAGAAATCTCCTGCCTAACAAGTATTGCCTCCATTTCTTTACAGCCTCTGTAATGGCATAGAGCTCCCTAACGTATGCAGAGGCCTTCTGCATCCTCAAGGCTAATTTCTTACTGAAATAGGAGATAGGATGTTCTTGTTGAAGCAAGACTGCACCCACTGCTAAGTCAGAAGCATTTGTTTCAACAGTAAAGTCTTGAGTGAAATCAGGCAAAACTAAGACAGGTGCTGTTGTCATGGCCACTTTTAGATTGTCAAAAGCTTGTTGAGCTACAACACTCCAAAGGAAGGAATCCTTTTTTAACAGTTCAGTGAGGGATGTGGCAATAGCTACATAATTACGAATGAATCTTCTATAGTAGCCCGTTAATGCTAAAAAACCTCTAAGTTCCTTAAGGTTCTTTGGAATAGGCCAATCTAGCATAACCTGGATTTTGGTATGATCCATCCTTATGCCATCTGCAGATACCACATGGCCTAGATAATCCACCTCCTTTTGTGCAAAGGAACACTTACTTCTTTTGATAAAGAACTGATGTTGTTGTAGAGTAGAAAGGACAATTCGGAGCTGTTGCAAGTGAAGCTCCATTGTGGGACTGTATATTAAAATATCATCAAAGAAAACAGCCACAAATTTTCGAAGATAAGGTTGCAAAATAAGATTCATAGTTGCTTGAAATGTAGATGGAGCATTGGTTAAGCCAAAAGGCATTACCAAAAACTCATAGTGACCTTGATGCGTACGGAAAGCTGTCTTGTGCACATCATGAGGATGAACCCGAAGTTGGTGATAACCAGCCCGCAAATCCAACTTGGAGAAGTACTGTGAGCCCCCTAACTCATCCATTAGCTCATCCGTGGTTGGAATGGGAAAGCGGTCTTTGATGGTGATGTTATTTAAAGCTCTGTAGTCAATGCAAAAGCGCCAAGTCCCATCTTTTTTTTTTAACTAGAAGTACAGGAGAAGAGAAAGGGCTGGTACTGAGCCTTATGAAACCAGAATCAAGCATGTGTTGTACCTGTTTTTCAATCTCAGCCTTTTGATAGTGTGGGTACCTATAGGGCCTCACATTAATTGGAGAAGCATGTGGTTGTAGGTGAATCTCATGGTCTAACAGCCTGTGAGGTGAGAGTGCTGTAGGCTCCTTGAATAACCCCTCAAATTCAGAAAGTAAGAGTGTAACTTCAGGACAGTGTGCAGGTGGTGGGTCTATTGTAACCGAATCCAACAGTGTGAGTTGAAACATAGAGGCAACCTGATCATGATGTTGTAATCTTCGAAACTGATTCAAAGATATAGGACCTGTATGCTTATCTCCTTGTAACTTGATTGACTCTCCTGCCCAAACAAACTCCATAGTAAGTTTGCTATAATCGAGCACCACTGGACCCAGAATTTGGAGCCATTGGACACCCAAGACCATGTCAGCACCTTGAATTGGGAGAACATAGAAGTCCACTAGGAAAACGTGCTGCTGTATTTGAACAGGTACAGCTTGACAAAATCCCTCACATTTGAGAGTCTGGCCATTCCCAACCATGACATCAAAATGCTGATCAGAAGACATAGGTAAGTTGAGAGCTGCTACCACTTTTGGTTGTAAGAAATTGTGTGTGCTGCCACCATCCACCAACAAACTCATTTCGGATTTGCCAATATGGCTATTGAATCTAAGTGTTTGAGGGACCATAATGCCTGACAGGGCATGAAGGCTAATTTGTGGTGTCACAGAGTCAGGGCAATCAGGAGGAGTGCTCATCATGGAATTGTTGTCTTCTGGTATGATATCATCAGAAGAGTGGGAGAATTCTTCATCCGGTACAATCAAAATGTGGACAGAGGCTTTACACTTATGACCAAAGAAATATTTATCACCACAAGTAAAACAAAGATTTTTGTCTCTTCGTTCTTGTATTTGGCTCTGGGAAAGTTTGTGAGTATATGGTTTCGGTGGATAAGTTGCAGTAGTAGGGGTAGTGGTTTTTGGTGGAAATGTAGGTGGTACAGTTTTTGGGGTTGGTAAGAGTGGAGGGTATGGGGAATGCAATTTAGGTGGATAGGGAGAGAACGGTTTAGGGGTGACCTCTTTGAGGGACAACTTTGCTTCTTGTATTTTAGCCAAAGAGATTGCACGAGTCATTGAAGAAGGTTGAAATGAAGCAACTTCTTGTTGAATAATAGGTTTCAATCCTGATACAAAACAACTGAGTAAAAACGATTCAGATAAGCCATGGACCTTATTGGATAGTGTCTCAAAAGCTTCCTGATATTCCAAAACTGAGCCATTCTGCATGAGCTTGGACAATTGTCCTTGGTAATCCTCTAATTCGGATGGGCCAAAACGCACCTGTAGTGCTTGAAGAAAGGAATCCCAAGATGCAACAGTGGTGTTCTTGCGTACCCATTGGTACCAAGCCAGAGCCTTGCCATCAAAATAAATTGGAGCAATACGAAGCTTCTGATCTTCGTCTATGCTGTAAAATTCGAAGAATTGTTCGATTTTGAAGATCCACCCCTGTGGATCGCAGGAACCATCAAACTTGGGAACTTTGAGACGAACATTACGGGCTGCGTGATTATCTTTCAGGGAACTGTGATTGGATGTCGTACCTGATGTTGCTGTGTAATCTCGATGATTATCAAAGATTGCATCAAGCTTGCATGCAATTTCCTGAATTTTTTTTGTCATTTGCTCCTTCAAAACCTCGATTTCAGCTTGTGTGTGGTCTAATCTGTCATCGAATGTGCGGGTTCTAGTTTCAGGGGCCATGTTCAGCTCGATGAAAGCGCCAATTGATAGGGAAAACCTATCTCTTGCACAGTTAAAGAAGAAAGGAAGAAGGAAGAGACTTCGAGAATCAGAGATGAGAAAAAGAAAGTTTATTCAAGACAATATGATTCAATACCCATCTGGGCTACACCAATCTGATTTATACATCTCCTATTTCTAGTAGTCTGTTATGATTACACGTGTTCTCCCCTAACTAACTTTCCTAGCAATTACTAGCTTACCCCCACCGCATACACTTAGTCACATGTGAACCTTTTGGGTCTCCTTATTTCTCTTCTTGCTCTGCCTTCAGCAAGACTAGTAACATTTGTATTCATTTCCTTCTCATTTGTCTGTTGTCCTTCAATTCCACTCTCAGCTGCTTGTTCTCCCTCTAGTCTTCGTGTTTCATTCATATCAGCCTCTAGATCGGGGAACAATAGATTGTTTTTGTTGAAACAAACTATGAATTTGACGTGTATTTATGGTTTTTTTTTTATCATTGATCATATAAGTGATTTTCGAGGGTGCTTTGAAAAGTTGTTCAGCACGGGTGTTAAATTAGAAGATGAGATTTTGGGACGTTGCTTCATACTCTACTTGATTCTTGGGAAAATCTTTGAGTGACTTTGACTAGTTTTGCTCCTGATGGTACTGTAACCATGAATTACGTGAAGTCTGCAATTTTGGATGAAGAAGTTTGACAAATCCTCATCACAGTCAGAGCTTTTGGTTATTGAAAATAGGAGACCGAGCAATGAGAGGGATCAAGAACAAGACCATAGATGTAAAAGCAAGGTTAGAAGCAAATCAAGTTCAAGATACTAAAACTTGAATGTCACTATTGCAGTAAAAAAAAAAAAAAGGACATGTCTATTTGTGATCAGTTAAAAGATGGAGAAAACAAGTGGTTGGTTGATCCATCTGTGTGATCCCTTGTGTTGAAAGTCATCCTAACAATACGGAGGTCACAAAGGAGCAACTTTATCACTGTTCTAACTCACCCTCTTAATAATACAATGGTGACAATATAGAAGACAATTTGAGAACTGTGGCATCATTAAGGAAATTAACGCATCAAGGAAGTGAAGGGTGGGAAATAAAGAGGAGGAAGGCCATAAGAAGAAATCTTATATTACCTTCTAAAGATGTTATAAATTCATCAGAATAACTAGTCTTGTATATCTTTGTACAAATTTTCAGATTTATACATATGTACTCCTTTTATAGGTAATCTCTAAAGCATTAGCATGGAAAAGTACTGCTCAAATTCTTGATCAATTGTTGGTGGCCTTGTGCTTGATTGAGCTTCTGCATTTAAAATAATATTATATGTCAGCCTAGTTACTAACAAAAATTTCTTTATGAAATGCATGTACCCTAGAAACTAATTTCACGAGTGCTAGCATGATGCTATCTTCACACATAATTAACTGACTAGAGCACACTGAATACCTTGGTTTACATTGCGTCTTCCAGATGAAAGGACATACATGTTTTGATTCACCCCATTAGAAAAAGGAAAATCTTCAAATTCCATATCTACAGGGTGCTCACTGCCTTCTTTAACATATTCTGAATAAACATGACCTGAAAAGCTTCCTAATCCCAGAAGGTGCTCCTCAGAATTCTTCAAAGCTTGTATATCAGGATCATGATAAGACGGATTATACTCACTCTCAACAAATGCTTCCTCTTCACTATAGTTTGTCATATTTACTGTTAATACATCCAAAGAGCAGTGGTTATCCTTAAATTATCAGTAATATTATTCCTACACTTGAATTTGTACACTTTTCTTTTACACGTAGAAAAAAAGGGAAGGTGAATTCTCTCTCTCCTTTTCCCCATAGAAGGTAGGTGTAAAAGGGAAGGCCTACCATATAGGTATGTATTTGTAACATTATAGTCATCCCAATTAACAAAAGAAGTGGAAGGCCTACCATATAGGTATGTATTTGCATTTGCACAATCTGCCTCAAGTTTGGTTTCTTCATTTATAGACTTAGCAGTATCAGAGTCTTCAATAAAACTATTGCTGTCTTTGGCAGATTCAGGTTTGGACCTATCATCAAGGAATGCTGCTTCTGTTCTACTCTCGACCATGTGGTTGTGCATGCTCTCTAAAGCAAGGTTGTCTTCAAACATTGAAGCATGTTCAGAAGAGAAACTCCCAACCCAGCATTTATGCTTTGGTCGAAGCAAATCCAACTGATCACTCAGTAATTTTCTTTTCTTGTTCCATTCAACAATGTTGATATTGTTCATTTCGTTGACCTGGAATCTGAAGAGAATACTCAAAAAATGTCATTACAAAAGAGAAGAACCAACAAATCTCGACAAGATAAAAAATGCCAAAAAGAACCTTCACACTAAAATCACACATATGAAAGACATCATTAGGTCAAGACATGAAGAAGGACAATTATTTAACTAACTTTTTGCTCAGTTTAACAGCTGTAGGGTAGTATCCTCTTCTACAATATTTCCTCTGCTAAAGTCAATGAATCAAGAGTGTGCAGTGACAAAATAGGATCTGGAACCCCCATTAGCTTCTTTTGTGACTTATTCTTCTGAAAAGGAATAATAGTACCTACAACTAGAAAAGTTCAATTTTCAACTGAAAAATATATTTTGTAGTCAGTCTCTATATGCTGGATATGTCTGGATCATATGTCAGATAATACACACTCCCAATAGATCACACTCAAGTTGTGCCTTTGCAACATAGGTAAAATTTTCTTAGTCACTAATTGAATTTGTGTAACAAGGGAAAAGCTCAATCACTAAGCATTGAAAGCACAAATGACTCAGTACAATACAGACTATTTAACATGTAAGGAGTGAAATAATCAGTACTTTATCCAGAACAGTTGACAAGTAAAACAAATTCCATCAAACTACTTTACATATGTAAATGGCCTTCCTGAAATTTTTTTTTTTGATATAGCACAATGTAAACATTTTGATCCGTGTAGTCTATCCCACTTAGTGGCAAAAGGCTTTTGTTGTTTTGTTCTTCTTAGTAATTTTACAGATGAAATGGTGCAAATACAGCAGCAAACAGAAATCCAACCAGATTAATATTCCCTGGGGATGCATTTCACATGGATTCAACCCTACAAAGCGAGCAATTCTTGAATAAAAAGATAAATAAATTGCAATTATTCCAATAAAATGGTGCAACAACCTAAGGAAATAAAGGGCAATTCGAAGGCTGATGTTTTTACAGCAAATGCAGAAAGGACAATTAAGAGTAGAGGAAACCATCTGTGGACCCAATTGCATGTTTTATTCATCATAAAACAAATTAAAACTTTCCAAAAGCGCTGTGCCCTTTTTACTAGTAAAGCATTCTCAACTTAAGCAAAGAACCAACAGAGAAAAGGGCATCTTTTCCCCAAATGTCCAACAATCTCTGGAATTCATATTTTATGCTTAACTTACTGAATGTTTTCAGAATAGAAACAAAAACACTGTATGGTTAGAAGCACAGGACCCAAAGAAGTAAATCCCATATACTATTTCACCAAACTGCAATCCAAACTCTTCCATCTCACTTAATTCTATATACTGAATTCCATTCTACACAATCACACGAACAAGTAGATAACTGCAACTATGACTGCCTCGTGCTTAACTGAAATGTATCTTTAAAGAAAATTTACTTATTTAGTTTAATTAATCAAACTCATTTTTTAACAAGTTATTATGTAAGCTAAATCTTCTACTTTCAGGTAAAATTTCAATATTCCACTACTCACATAAGCATCTAGGTGTTAGTTAATATACCATACAAGATAAGAGCAAAAGTAGCATCAAATCTATAACATAAAATGCAGAAAAAGGGAGAATAATTCAGTGATCAAACAGAACAAAATGAAGAGAGGAAAATCTTGGAGACCCAGATAGTCTCAAACCTGTTAACTTCATAAGGGTTCTCCTTGCTTTCATCCATCTCGATCTAGAAAAATCAAAGACTCAAAAACATAAAATTGAAGACAAGTTTTCGGAGAGCAGAGAGAGATACCCTCTCAAAAGCAAATATTAAAAACTAAAAGGATGCGATGCGGAGGAATAAATCTTTGGTACTACTGTATCTAGATTCAGTGCATCTCATTAATGAGAACCTCACACATCATATGAGAGAGAAAACATTTGACAGAAAAAAAGTATTTTAGCTGACATGTAATATTTTCATTGATGAGATACACTGAATCTTTGGTACAATAGTAGTACCAAATATTTATTCGATACTGAAAATATAATGGAAAATTGTATTTTTTTTATTTCTCTTAGTTCGATTCGAAATGGATTTAGAAATTAAAATTTTAAATTTCTCACAAAAATGATATTAAGTATCATTTTTATGGTTTGTATGTCGTTTTTAGAGCACATAGATTTAAATTGACGTGAGTTTTACTGAAAAAATAAAAACAAAAAAAAATAATCTACATTCCACTTCTTTATGCTTATTTTAAAGAAATTAAGTTTGTGTTATTTAAAAAGATACACAATTTTTTCATAATATAATAAAATCCTCATTTTTCTTTGTCTCTAAAGTGCTTTTTTGGTGCATTAAATGTACTATACATCTGTTAAAAATAAATAAAAATTTAAAATTTGATGAGAAATACTTAATAAAAAATTTCCTTTGTCTCCTTGTCATTTCTAGGTAGTCTCCATGGCACGAGAGAAGATAACCTTTTTTTTAAAATATTATTTATGATTATTCGACCGGATAGTACCATTTAAGTGGCAAACCTCTTCCTATCAAAGATTTAATATAATTACACTCATAAATTAAACTCAAGAACACTAATTAAAATAGAATAACCCTTACCAGTTGATCACTTACTTGCTAGTAAGATAAGTTAACTTTGGAGCAAGTTCACGTGGCCTCCCATTGGTTGGTGGCAACTTGAGAACACAATGATTAGTGAGTTCATGTGCAGTGCCACTAACAGTACGAGGAACCATTCATGTGTCCCCCACGTTTGCATGATGACTTATCTGCAACTTAAGTATCATTAAACTTCTAAGTTTAAAGAGTTTCTCTTTTTTCATGATAGACACAATAAGTGATGGGGCCATCATTTGTTAAAAAAAGTAAAAAAAATAAAAAAATAAAAAATATTACACAAATTTCGATGTCTCACAACATGAGAAAGCTATCTTCTATTACATGAGAAAATGATTTTCCAACTTTAAAACATGATAATGTTAATACTGATTACTAAAAAGAAAAAGAAAAAGAAAAATGCCTAAAGAATACGTTTATTAGAGATTTAGATTACCTGTTCTTTCTTAAAACTTTGGTAATGTTCGTGTAGAGATCTATCATTATGCGTTCAAAAATCCATCAATTCTTTTTTTTTTTTGATACATTAAAAATCCATCAATTCTATACAAAAGTAAATTGTGTTGTTTGTTCTTCATAATAATACACTGTCATAGTTTAAGGAAAAATTCAAAATAATATAGTTATCAATTTGATTATATTAATATGATTAATCAGGAAAATAGCCTGAGCTGGTAATCATATAATATAACTAGATAATAAATTATTTTAAAATAATATTATGATTTATGAAGCTAATAAGACCGGATTATTCCTATGACTCACGCAACGCAACCTACATCTCTCTTTCTCTCTCTCTCTCTCTCTCTCTCTCTCTCTCTCGCGCTCTCTCTCTCTCTATATATATATATATATATATATATATATATTATATATATATGGGGAGTTGATACGATGCAGAAGCCATCGAGGAACAGAACAGCCCCTAGCTGGGCAAAAGACTACTCAGTGCATATATAGGATGTTGTAAATAGAAGCTTATAGACTAATAGGTTGCATTTTAATAAGTACACGTGGCTGCAAACGATTGGAGCTTGAAGTAGTTAGTTAGTTATTCTGTTATTATATAACAAAATCACAATGTACCAATTGATTCATTCAGAAATAAAAAAATAATCTTTCAGTGTTCTTTGTTTTTCTCCTTCGATAAGAACTTGATTCTTATCATTTGGTGCTTTCCTCACCATGCGTATCCAAGAACTCGCCGAAGAATTTTCTTCTCTTCAACAACGGATTGATAAAGACAGAGAGGAAAACCATGCATTCTAGGCCAGAATCGATCAACGATTTGTGGAATGTCAACGTGAGAACCAAACTCAGTTCGTCAATTTGGTTACGCAGATGCAACAACTCCAGGAGTTAATCCTGGGACGAGATGAGCGTGACAGACGTGAGAGTTCTTCTACAATTCCTTGTCCACCTCCGGAAGCAGACACTGCATCTTTTGTTCATCAGCGAACGATGCATTCAAATTTTCCTTTGCCTCTAAAAGCGGTTCGTATGGAAGTTCCAACCTTCAATGGGACTGATCCCCATGGTTAGATCTTTAAATCGGAACTGTATTTTGGATTACAGCAGATACCAGAAGAATACAAGGTTCAGCTTGCTGGATTGAAGATGGAGGGACCAGCCTCTCCCTGGTATCAGTGGCTTTTTAAGGGAGGTTCGATTGGAACTTGGCAAGATCTTAAAAATGCAGTTTGTCATCGATTTGGTGGTTCTGCTTATACAAATCTTATAGGGGTACTGTCAAAGTTGACCCAAGCAGGTACTCTAGCGGAGTACATGCAACAATTTGAATCATTAATTAACCAAGTTAATGATTTTTTTGACGAGATTTTGATGACCTTTTTTGTGTCGGGGTTATCCCTCGAATTGAGAAGAGCAATTCAACTTCACAAACCAATTGCTCTTAATCAGGCAATGCAATTGGCCTTGGTATATGAGGCACATTTCAATGATCTTCGTTCATCCATGACCCCAAATCCAACCTTTCCTAAGAAAACTTTTCAGAAGACTAATTTTTCTTCTGATCATACCCATACCAGCCACACCTTAACCTTACCTTCTCCCACTATACCAGCTTTACCTTACACAAACCAAACCACACATGTGCCAACCTTACCCTCTAATATACCAATTAAGAAGTTTTCCAATGAGTATTTGCAGAAGCGCCGTGAACTGGGTCTATGCTACACATGTGATGAGAAATGGACCTCAAGACATAGGTGCAAGGCTAAGCTCTTATTGATGATAGGTGATATGGAAGATACTGATCAGGAACCAAATGAGACCATCGTGTGGCAACCTGATGCCAATACTAGCTCACCTTTAGATGCAGCACTGAATTCCCTATCAGGTAATCATAGTACTAGATCATTTCAATTTGCCATCAATCTCAAGGAGAAATAATTACTGGTGCTAGTAGACTCGGGCAGTTCCCATAATTTCGTGAAAAGAAATGTGGTGGATAGATTGGGACTTCCTATGTTCAAAACACAAAAGATGAATGTGTACCTTGGCAATGGAGAGTTTATGTCTTGTGATAAAAAATGCTGCAATGTGGTTCTGTCTATTCAAGGGCAATCTTTTACCATAGATTTGTGGGTTATCGAATTGACCATGAATACAGACATAATCTTGGGCATTATGTGGCTGGAGCAGTTAGGCAGGGTGATGCATGATTATAGTGAGATGACTGTGGAGTTTATATGGCATAAGCAAAGGGTAGTGTTGTATGCAGACAAAGAACTTCCAATTTGCATGGAACAGCAAGCAAACTGTCTCACCTTATTAGGTGCAGAACCAACAACCCCACAATCAGATGTACTTCCTGAATTAATTGAGTTGAAAGACAAGGTACCAGCACAGATTTGGCTGTTACTCACTCACTTTCAGTTTGTGTTCCAAATACCTCAAAGTCTTCCTCCAACAAGAGATTATGACCATGCCATCAACTTAGTTGAAGGATCAAAGGCTGTCAATGTAAGACCTTACCGATATGCACATAATCAGAAATATGAGATTGAAAAGCAAATATCTGACCTCCTAGCAGCAGGCTTCATTCCGGAGAGCCATAGTTCTTTCTCCTCACCAGTGTTATTGGTGAAGAAATCTGACAAAACATGGCAAATGTGTGTAGATTATCGTGCTTTAAACCACATTACAGTGAAGGACAGATTCCCAATTCCCACTATCGATGAACTTCTTGATGAGTTAAATGGTGCATGTGTGTTTTCCAAGTTGGATCTTCGAAGTGGTTATCACCAAATCAGGTTAGTTCCTGGTGATGCTCATAAGACTGCATTTCGTACCCATGAGGGACATTATGAGTTTTTAGTTATGCCCTTTGGGTTAACTAATGCTCCATCTACTTTTCAATCTGCTATGAACCGAATGTTTAGACCATACTTAAGGAAATTCATCATTGTGTATATTATAATATTTAGTAAGACCTTGGAGGAACATGTATTTCATTTGCAGGTTGCCTTAAACTGCCTTTGTGAAAATAGTTTCCTAGTTAAGCTCAGCAAATGTGCTTTTGCACTTTCGAAAATTGATTACTTGGGACACTTGGTGTATGCACAAGGTGTCAAGGCTGATCCAAGAAAGGTAGAAGCAATGATTCAATGGCCTCAACCATGCAATGTGAAACAATTGAGGGGTTTCTTGGGCCTCACTGGATATTATCGAAAATTTGTATGTCACTATGCAACTATTGCATCCCCTTTAACTGATTTACTGAAACAGGATGCATTCCATTGGGGTGAAGAGGCTCAGCTAGCATTTCAAGCCTTGAAGGAGGCTATGTCCACCACTCTAGTGCTCATACTACCTGATTTTACAATTCCCTTTGTGGTTGAAACAGATGCTTCATCTACTGGTGTGGGTGCAGTTTTGTTACAACATGGGAGACCTATCTCTTTTTTTAGTAAGAAGATTGGTCCACGTATGAGAGTTGCTTCCACCTATGTTCGGGAGTTGTATGTTGTGGTAGAAGCTGTGAAACGTTGGAGACATTATTTGTTAGGTTCTCCATTCATCATTAGGACTGATCATCGCAGCTTGAAAGAGTTGCTGTCCCAAACAGTTCAAACAATGGAGCAACAAAAGTATGTTTGCAAGCTCATGGGTTATGATTTCAAAATTGAGTATAAGCCTGGAGTTTCGAATACTGTAGCTGATTTCTTATCCCGTAGCTTTGAGGATCATACAGATACTGCCTTGTTGGTCTTATTCTCCGAACCTTCTTTTCAGATTTTGGATGAGGTACGCAAAGAAAATGGGACAAATCCATACTTGCTACTACTGCATCAACAGCTGTTAACCAATGCCTGTGATGACCCTCACATTTCCATTAAAGATGGAATTCTTTTCCACAAGCATCGTTTCCTGCTGAGTTACAGTTTTGTTTTAAGAGAAACATTGAAGACTGAAGCACATTCCTCACAAATGGGAGGTCACGCTGGTATCACACGAACTGTCTTAAGGATTTGTGCTTCTTTTTTTGGCCAAGGATGCGCAAGGATATTACTGAGTTTGTGAAAAGTTGTCCTACATGCCAAATGATTAAGACTTCCACAGTTGCACCATTGGGTTTACTTCAACCATTACCCATTCCCTAAGGCGTGTTTGAAGATTTAACTCTAGATTTTATAATTGGGTTACCTGTATCCCGCGGATTGTCTACTATATTGGTGGTAGTGGATCGCCTCACGAAATATGCTCATTTTGGAGCCTTACCTGCTCATTATACAGCTGCAGTGGTGGCTAAGTTGTTTTGTGATATAGTAGTAAAACTGCATAGGATACCTCGAAGCCTTGTATCAGATAGGGACAACATTTTCCTCAGCAAATTTTGGACCAATCTCTTCCAACTCAGTGGAACTAAGTTGAAGACTAGCACTGCTTACCACCCTCAAACGGATGGCCAATCCGAGGTAACAAATCTCTATCTTGAACAGTATCTTAGAGCCTTCTGTTATGATGAGAACCAGAATTGGTTCATTTACTTGGGATGGGCTGAGTTACACTATAATACAGCCTTTCATTCTTCCATCAAAATGTCACCATTCCAAGCCTTGTATGGCAAACCTTCCATGATGATTCCTCACTACCCGAGAGGTCTGGTTAAAATAGAAGTTGTAGACACCTTATTGTGTCATAGGGAGGAGCTGCTACATCAGTTGAAGAAACATCTATTGGGAGCCCAAAACCGTATGAAAATACAAGCTAATCGTCATAGGAAGGATGTCACATTGGCAGTAGGAGACTTGGTGTTGGTTAAGTTAAAGCCTTATCGACAGCTAACAGTGGCTAAGCGTACAAATCAAAAGCTAGCTAAGCGATACTTTGGTCCATTTCCAGTCAAGCGTGTTTTGAGTCCAGTAGCTTATCAGTTGGAACTGCCTGATGGTTGTAAAATTCATCCCTCTTTTCATATTTCGGTTCTCAAACCATTCAAGGGTGATTCTCAAACACAGGTGCTCTCCTTGCCCATTTTATCACATGATAATTTTCCTCTCCAACAACCTTTATCAGTCTTAATGTCCAGAGAAATTCTAAGGCAAGGCAAACTTAGCAAACAGTGGCTTGTTCAATTGTCCAATTCCTTACCAGAAGATGCTTCGTGGGAAGATGAAGCAGAGTTGCAAACCTCTTATCCTCATCTGAACCTTGTGGACAAGGTTCCTCTTCAAGGGGAGGCGAGTGATACGATGCAGAAGCCATCGAGGAACAGAGAAGCCCCTAGCTGGGCCAAAGACTACTCAGTGCATATATAGGATGTTGTAAATAGAAGCTTATAGACTGATAGGTTGCATTTTAATAAGTACACGTGGCTGCAAACGATTGGAGCTTGAAGTAGTTAGTTAGTTATTCTGTTATTATATAACAGAATCACAATGTACCAATTGATTCATTCAGAAATAAAAATATAGTCTTTCAGTGTTCTTTGTTTTTCTCCTTCGATAAGAACTTGATTCTTATCAGGAGTTTTATATTTACAAACATTTTGTTTACAAACTCTTACAAACTACATTATGTACTCTCGGAAGAAAATTAGGTTATACTATGTTCTCTCGGGAGTAATTTGCAAAAATTTGTTAAAAAGGTTTATAAACAGATCCTTCCCCTATATTAGGGTTGGCAAAACGGGCAAACCCGACCCGGCCTGACCCAACCCGCATTCAACCCGAAAAAAAACGAGTCGGGTTAGGGTTGGCTCGAAAAAAAACGAGCTAGAAAATCCAACCCAACCCGACCCGATTCGGGTTAGGGTTGGCTCGCGGGTTAGCTCAAAAATATATCTCGTGGGTTGGCTTGAAAAAATAGCGTGCGAGTTGGCTCGAAAATTGGCTCGCGGGTTGGCTCGTTTACAGCCTATTTAAATGACCTTGTAGTATTAATGAACATATATGTGGTTTCCATCAACTTAAATAAAGGGTTACAAAATGAGAAATAAAAGAAAAATATTTTAGTTTCGAATTTTCTTCACAACAAATTTGCATCAACATCAATAAACAATCAGAACCACTCGCTACCAAGTGGGTAAGATATTTGAACCAAACAGAGCTAGCACAGCCTAACAAAATAAAAATGACAGGGATGTACGAAGATTAGGGACTTAGGTTTAGAGAAGGAAGAAAAATGATGACACCATGTGTGGGTTTTTTCTATTTTTGTATATTATATTTTGGATTTTTTATATAAAAAAAAACTCAACCCGCGAGCTGGCTCGTTTAACCCGCGGGTCGGGTTCGCAGCTCGTTTTTGCCAACCCAACCCGGTTCTTTTTGCTCGTTTTTGCCAACCCTACCGTATATATATATATATATATATATATATATATATATAAGATTTAAAGTTTTAAAGTTATTTTAGATAATTTTATTTAAAGTTCACCAAAATACACACAAAAAAATGTGTGATGTCCATGTGAATAGAATAGAGAAAAAAGAAAAAATGGGTCCCTCATATTTATTTTGTATATTTTCGTGAACATTAGATAAAATTGTATAAAGTAACTTTAGAAACTATATATATATATATATATATATATATATATATATATATATATATATATATGGGAAAAATGTTTCTGTAGTTAATGCAGATAAATTATCTGCATTTTTTCCAAAATGACGTCGTTTTGGTTTTGAAATGTTAAAATTTTTTAAATATAAAGACTATTATAACCCTGAAATAAATTAAAATTACAAAAACACCATGATTTTCGCCGCAAAACAACGTTGTATTGGGATTACTAACTGCAGAAAAAGCGAACCATATATATATATAAGGGAAGGATCCGTTTACAAACTTTTTTTGAAATTTTTACAAATTACACTATGTTCTCCTGGGAGAAGATAATGTAGTTTGTAAGAGTTTGTAAACAAAAAAGTTTGTAAATATAACCTGCCCCATAAATATATATATATATATATATATATATATAGACACACACACACACGTAGGGTCAGGATCATTTTACACCAGTGTAAGTTACACTCTCAATCTTGTCCATTGATCCCACTTATATCTAAGGGCTCAATTTTTTTAGTAATGTAAGCCATTAGATACGAGTGGATCAATAGTAAAGATTGAGTGTAAGACTTCTAACTCTTACACCGGTGCAAGAATATCCTACCCCATATATATATATATATATATATATATATATATGGGAAAAATGTTTATGCAGTTACTGCAGATAAGTTATCTGCATTGTTTCCAAAATGACGTCGTTTTGGTTTTGAAATCTTAAAAAATTATAAATATAAAGACTATTACAAGCCACAAATAAATTAAAATTACAAAAACACTATGATTTTTGCCGCAAAACGACGTTGTATTGGGCTTACTAACCGCAGAAAAAGCAAACCCTATATATATATATATATATATATATATATATATATATATATATATATATATATATAGGGGAAGGATCTCTTTACAAAATTTTTTTGAAATTTTTTACAAATTACACTATGTTCTCCTGGGAGAAGATAGTGTAGTTTGTAAGAGTTTGTAAACAAAAAAGTTTGTAAATATAACATGCCCCATATATATATATATATATATATATATATATATATATATATATATATATATATGGCAAAATGATTTCTACAGCCGCTGCACCTACAGCAAGCCAGGATCCGCTGTCGGATCCTGTTTTTTTTTTTTTTTTAAAGCTGTGGGGTCCACTTTTCTGTGTCAGCTGCAGATAACACTGTCTACGGCGGCTGCAGAAATGTTAAGCTATATATATATATATATATGAGTTTGAGGTTTGTCACTTTAAATGACATAAGTTATGTCATTTTAAGAGAGATAGACACATGGAATAGAAATCACGGAAGAGAAAGTGGTTGGTTTTTTTATTAATTTTAAATTTTAAATAAAAAAATTAATATGTGTCTATCTCTCTCTTAAAATGATATGACTTTATGTTATTTAAAATGACAAATATTGTTTTCATATATATATATATATATATATATATATATATATATATTTAAAATTTAACAAGCTCATTATATTGGAGACAGCGACAAACACTAACCCCACACTTGAGCTAGAAGCTCTAGATTGTTTGAAGAAGATATTTGATAAAACTTGCATAAGATACAGGAATCTTCCCTAAAGAAGCCTTGGCCTTTTCATAATACCGTAGCTGGAAAAAGATAATACCCTATGACATTCAAAAATAGATAATTGAATACTGTAGAAACTGTCACTCTCATAATTTTTCTAATGAGAGTGACCATATAAGAACTGAAAAAATCATGACAATCTAAGTGCCTAAAACTCTCTACTTTTCTTTCTTTCTTTCTTTTTTTCTTTTTTGGTACAAAGTGTGTATATAACAATGTCACTAAAAAAAAAATGAAAGAAATGAATGTGGACAAAACTAAAAACAAAAAGCACAAGCAAATATCCCAAATCTAACCCAAAAACAGACAAAGAAAAGTGACATAATGTTGTAATCTTTTCAACATTTGGGAAGATCAGAGGGTGGAGGTGGCAGCTTCTGATTGCGTCGTTTTCCATCTTGTACTATCCATGCCATTTTCAAACCCCAACTGGTATGCACTTCAAGGTGGCAGTGCATGAACCAAACACCTGCTCATGTATGATCAGCAAAATAATGTTAGTAACACTAATAGTAAAAATCATACCAAAAACCCAATATATTAAAGTTTGGGTTTGTTTAAGTCTTAATTGAAGTATGGATCCATTTTGGTACTTTAAAGTACAATTTATATTAGATTGGTCCTCTTTTCATGTTGATATTAGAGTAGTTCTTCAATGTTAATTCCTATAATCAGAATGAATTTTAAAGTTTCATCAACTCAAATGTTCTACTATAAAAAGGGACAAATTCCGCTACACAAGGGTTCTTGACTTGCAAAATAATCTCTTCACCCAACAGCTTAAGTTTTTGGGTTGAATTGGTTCTTTACATGGTATCAGAGCCTCGTGTCCCGGGTTCGATCTTCACTGCCTCCCATTTTCTCTTGTTGAATTTTCTTAGCACAAGTAGGTGGGTCTGTGCATTATCCACCTTTCAAGCTCAGTGGGCTCTCGTGTGAGGGGGCGTGTTGAAATATATAAAACCATTAATGTAGCCTCACTCAACAGCTTAAGCTTTTGGGTTGAATTGGTTCTTTACATAATCTTACACTTACATTTTTACAAGGAAAACGGTTTTCAATGAACAATTTTATGGCCTTTCTTTCACAGGGAGCAACCTTACTACATCACTCTCAATGATTAACTATTATCAAGAAATTATTTAATTTTGTCTATAAATAGATGTAAAATATATATTTCAAGTAACAAAATGTAAGTATAATCTTCTTAATTATGTAGTACTCACCTGGGTTATCTGCAAGGAAGCGCAAAGCAATCCACCCTCCAGATGGCACACCAGCAGTGTTTCTCTCAGCAGGGTCAACCAGATTGAACTTTGTGGGGTCCTTTTTGGGGTCAAAATTTCCATTGCCTTGGCCAACAATAAAGAAGTTAAAGCCATGAAGATGAAGTGGATGACTCTCAGCTCCAATAATGCTTGTGTCCTGAAGGATCAACTCCACAGTGGTGTTGAATGGCAACAGCACTACCTTAGTCCCACTAGTTACCATGATGTTGTTTGGTGGGGTGCCAGTGTAGTTGAATTTGAAAGGTGGGTTAGAAGGAAAATCAGTGGTGTATACTCCTTTTGATTGGTTGAAGAAGTGAGCTTGGAGTAAAGCAATGTTTGGCATCACAAAGGACACATTGTTAATGGTAGCAGCTACCCTTGTGTTATTAGGCCCTTGGCATGCTTGGTTTTGTGAGCATGTGCTGATTCCTAAGCCAACTGTGAAGAAAAAGTGTTTGTCAACAGTTTTTGGAACTTTTGCTGGGAATCTTGAATTGGCCAAGCTACGGATTTTCTTGTTGAAGTTATCAGCAAAGACTGTGTCATTGAATTTGGGAAGCACTGGTCTAAGAAGAGGAAGCTTATGATTGTTTAGTTTATTTGACAGTGAAGTTTTCTTATACTCAAGCAACCCAGTGGTTGTGGTATTGTCAAAAGAAGCTGGCCCTGTAGCATAGGACCTGGCAGCTATGACAAATGTGGCTTTTGGAGCCTTTGATTTGGTCTTGAGAAGGACATTGGTGGTTTGCCCTGGTGTGATCAGAACAATGCTTGTGCTGAAGGGCTTTACATACACAGCATCAGCTTCAACAACAGTGAGTGTGTGGTTGGCAATGCTAAAGAACATCTCATCATTAAGTGCAGCATTGATAAGACGAAGCAGATAAGTCTTTCCAGGTTTCACCTTGAGCTTGAAGGTATCTGCACAAATAGACAAGTTAGCTTAATGAAATGAAACTAATCAGTAATCATACATGGTCAAGAATTGACAATGTTTATGCTTTTCTTTCATTTTTTTTTCTTTTTCTTTTCTTACTATGTTGTTACCTTTGGCTGAGCAATTGTAGAGAGGACCTGGAAGACCATTGATGGTGTGAGCATCTGAGATATTTGGTGCAGATCCTGTTTGCATTGCTTGGTTTATAACAGTTTCTGTGTCTGCTTTCCACCAATCTCCTGCCATTTTATCCATGTTTAGAAAAAATGTATACTTTTTAATGGGGCAGGTTATATTTACAAACTTTTTTGTTTACAAACTCTTACAAACTACACTATATTCTCCCGGGAGAATACAAACTTTTACAAACTACACTATGTTCTCCCGGGAGAATACAATATAAATTGTAAAAAAATTCAAAAAAGTTTGTAAACGAATCTTGTCCCCTTTTTAATATGTAGAGCTCAAAGTAAAATCTGTGACATATTTTGAAGGCTCTCAACTTACCCAATACGATGGGGACTTCTTTGAAGGGTTGAGTGAATGGGTAAGGGACATGCCTTTTGGGAAGAATGACAATAGGACCATGAACAGTTGCTCTAAGCCATGAGATATGTGCATGCCACCACAGTGTTCCTCTTTGGCCAATAACTGTGAAGTTGTAGACATAAGTTTGGCCTGTCTGAATTGGACACTGTGTGATGTAGGCAGGTCCATCTGCCCAACCACTTTTCAGTTGGCGAATTCCATGCCTGAAAAAATGAATCAAATGTTGAGAATATGCTACCATTCAACAATTACAACAAATTGAATCATGGAGTCTAATTGTATAATACCAATGAATGGTCACATTGTACTGAACATGGTTAACTACTTTAATTACAAGTCTATCCCCTTCTCTTGCTATGATTCTAGGACCAGGAAATTGTCCATTGACAGTTACAATGCTCTTTGTTTGGCAAAGCCTTGTGATATTTTGCAATTTGATCTGTATAAAGGAAAAGGGGAAAAAAAATTAATAATCAGTTAAGAGTAAATTAAAATCTTCAAAAACATGATAATGAAATGCAATCAATGCACATACGTTAAACTTGTAGTGCCTTGTCATTCTAGCATGCTTTGCTTGTGTTAGCTCTGGCAATATTGACAGAGAACATAACACAAGAAACATTGCCTTCAAGAAACTTGGCATGCTGAGATAAGCACAACCCATTTTTCCTTTCTCTCTTCTAAATCTTCTTTTGAAGCACTTGAACTTGACAAAAGAGCTTATTGTTTTTTATTTTGATGGAGAAAAGAAAAGTGATGCAACTTAAATAGTAGAAATGGATTTAGTGGGATTAGTTAATTAGGTGATTGAAAATGAGACATTACAGACTTGGAATGCCTTCAGCAACAAAGTTCCAAGCATGAACCATACCATTAGCTCGTTGCTGGCAATGCTTAGAGTATAGAGTACTTTTCAAGCCAGAATATGTAATTTTGGAACTTCCTCTATCTATTGAACATTGTTTTCCAAAATGGTCCTTGTTAAACAAGTAATGACACTAAAGATCAAATTAGCCCAACTCAGTAGATTTTTTATAGGTCAATTAGTGCAATGTTACATGTGACACAGATTGGACAGTAACAACTTTGATATTTAGTGAGATAATGCATTTTTCTTATATTGTTGTTGTTGGAGAGATATAATATAAACACTATTTGAAGACTCATCACTTACCAGTTTAAACTATTGGGTAATATAGTTATTTTTTAGGGTAATACTTCTCTTATGTTGCATAAGAGAAGTATTATCTCATGCTCAAACAAAAGTTAGGAGAGAGAAAAAAGTTAGAAGTGAGAGAAAAAAAATCTTGTGGGATCCATTTGAAAAATGTGAGTGTAGGAGATAAAAAAAAATTTATGTAACATAAGAAAAGTTATTCCCTATTTTTTATGATATCAGAAATAAGACATGCAGTCACGAGTTCAATCTTGATAGTAAAATTTAGTTAGCATAAAATAGAATAAAATAAGCTCTTATATAAAGATATATATTAGAGAAATATAATATAAAAACTGTTAAAAACCTATCCTTTAGCGGCTTGAGGTATTGGGTAAGATATTGTTTATCAGTTGTGACAATGGTACATAATAGTTAATCAGTTAATAACACATGCAGGGGTAATTTGGTCAAATTTAATTGAAGTAAATATGTTTCAATTTCATTGTACACTTTGAATGAGAAATAAAATAAAATAAAAAATTGATGAATGAAAGGGATTGATTGATAATCACAAACAGGGTTAGATAGGACTTGGTTGCAAGGTAAACTTCAGCCTCCTACCGTTAATACTTGCTAACAAAGGAATAAAGGAAAAGCTGTATTGTTCACACACCATATTGTTCCGTTAGTTTGTGTCGGTTGTTAATTTCATACCGTACAAAGTTTAACAGCTTTTGATGTTACTTTCATGGCCCATATATTTGTCTTTGAAAGAACCCTTCCTTTACAAGATCTCACATATTTGCTGGGACAAACATTGATTTGCATCTATCAACAGTTTCTCACTCGTTTTAGCCTCAGATTTATTGTCAAATATTGAGTTCAACTTTTGGACCCAATTAGACCCCTGTGGGTCGGGTTTGGATCCACCTAACCCGGCCTTTTATCTATTAGAATAAAATATTTTATTTATTTATTTAGACAAAATGACAGAAAGAGTCACATGTCATATTTTTATTAACCAAGATACAAAGGATGAGGCACATTTAAAAGCCTTTCTTGACTATAAAAGAGTCACATGTCGTATTTCATATTTCTCTTCTGCCCCTTTTTTTTTTTTTTTTTTTTTTTGGAGAAAAGTATGTATTATTTTAAAGATGTAAAGTTATATCATTTTAAATAAGAAAAAGATATAGATTATAAGAGAGAGAATAGACAAAAAAATAAAAGTATGGATCTCATTTCTTTGTGAGAGTGAAATAATAGAAATTATATCATTTAACAAACACTTTTTCCGTTCAAATTAAGCCTGGTTTTCATGGTCTTTGGCACATTATTCTAGATACTTCGATATGATTTTAAATTATAAAACTCAATGCTTGTTGGACTTCTTGAAACTTTATGCATTATTCAGTTTTACGATCCATTTTTTTGCTTGATTCATCTCCTTTCTCGATTACTTTTTACAATTGTTAGATCTGCTTGTGAAGCGTTCTTATAATTTAAAACATATTTGATTTTTAAATGTGTAGGTTAGTTTTGTACACACAAAAATTCGTCATTAATTTTCTAGTCTTTCGGAAACCTATAGTACGTTGCATAATTTGTATTTTGCTATAGAGCTTTAAAGGCTAGCGTGAGATTTTTGAACTTTAACTAATATTCTAAATGCAAGGATTAGATTGCAAATGTATTTTCATAATTACTTTGTTGATTTACTATCATTTGTTAATTTTCGTATTTGTTTTTGATTGCTTGTTTCCAATTCTGAGCTTCATCTTAGCTCATATAAACGTTATATTATCAACGAAAGTAGCATACTATATATTTTCTAGATTCATCTTATTCTTTTTATCTCTCCCTGTTAATCTTTCTCTCTCTCTCCCTCTCTTCACTGTTTCATTAGTGCTTTCATTGATCCTTTTCCTACCTTCTTGTCAGCCATGGCTGAAAACACCTGCTTACGTGACCTTACCTCTCGCCTTGATCAACAACAGATAGAAATGAGGGATTTGATGGATCGTATGAACGCACTTCAGCAACTAACTCCAAACCGTTGAATGCCTCCACGAGCAGTATTTCATAACTTGCTTGAGTCCTAAACACAATTAAAAGAAACACAGATTCAATTCCATGAATCTCAAAACCAAATCCAACGTGATATTTGCCGCATCCTAGCAATTTGTAACATCCCTGTCTCGAGCCGGTTCAATTAACATACATATGATACAAACAGAAACAACGGAAGACTTAACTTACGAAAATACGAGCTAACTTTTTTCCTTCTTCATTAATCTTAATTCACATGATATCTCATATTGCATACTTCTCCTAATTTAATTCGTATTTGACGAAGACGAAAATCGAGCAGAGTAACCTCTATAAATTGAACAACTGGAAATTTGCCAATCTCATTCTCAAAGGTTTCTGATAAACAGTTTATACCATATATGATTTCAGAAATATCAGATATCTATACATGACTATATACTCATCCATGGGCGTATGCATAACTTGGCTCTGTGCCACTATGTCTAACAGCATGCAAATCCAACAGGTAAACATATAACTGAATACTGTATCATAATATAAACATGCTTGAATACACAATTGTACATGCATCAAAACAGAAACATGTATAAACCATATACAAGCCATATACAAGTATCAGATCAGACATCATGATCCACCAAAAGAATAGAATACAAAATAACCAGAATATACTCCAAAATAACAGTAGCCTACAGCTACTCCAAAATCTGGTCCGTCGTAGCACCTCTAACCACGGGTCGTGTCCCTGCCTAGTGAGGGCTCATCGGGAATCTGAGAACCTGAAATGATGTCCCCGAAAAGGGGTGAGATAACAAATCTCAATAAGCTCCAGGTTTATAGAGAATTCTCCATACCCCTGGGCCCACTTCTGCATGAAAGTCAGATACAGAGTATACATAACAACATATAGCGGATATCATAACTAAGCAAAACATATATCTTATCAGAGAAGTACACAATCATTCCCAAGGAAGGACCCCAAGCGGAACCAGAACATATTAGAGGTGTACACCGTCAGTCTCGAGGGAGGACCCCAAGCAAACATCAATGCACAATACAATTAATGGCCAAAGATTAATACAGAAATCATATCAGAACAAATCATATCATGTTATCAAATAGCTCTATATGAATGCATCTGTACAAAGCATCAAATACAATCATACAATCCAACCATAGTTCATTAACCATGGTGGAGCACTCAAGCAGGAAAAGACTCCTTAAACATAAAGCTTAAGTTTTACCAATCTACTCACTTGTAACACAAGTTACCTATTTAGCTCCAAAGGAAATTCAAACCCTTTCAGTCCCTAGGCACACCTAGAGAAAGAATTCAAAACAAAATCAATAAAATGCTACAATGCCATGAAATTTACACAAGGCATACATCTTATTGTTTACTTTCATTTTTTTCTTACACTTTTGCCAAATCTATACCAATACACAAGTCAAGACCATATTTTTCCCATTTCTTTATTAGACCATATTAAGGATGATTTAATGAACCACAAGCACCCTCATGGTTTCTTACTCATGTAGGGTCCTAAAATAACCCAACCACGCTTCTAAAATACCATTTATAATTTTTAACAATTCCAAGCCCCCCCACAAAACTTAATTGGCCGAACCAACATCAAGGGAAACTAGGAATTTTTGCATCAATTCAATAGATACAACTCCAAGTTCTTAGAATCCACACATAGCCCCTCAATTATTCAAATATTCTCATAACAATTATAAGCTTAACTTTGCCTAATTTTTTTGTTCACAAGGTCATGGCAACTCATACAAGGGAGCTAAGGTGCCTCTCATTTTGTCTTAAACCATTTAACTTCCAAATCATATTAAAACCATCCATTAGGACTTAAATGCATCATCAACATAATTTTAACATAATTTTCCCTAATAATACCCTAATGGCCAAAATGCACAGGGAAGGTTTCCAAGGGATTTTCCACAGTGTAATCTCACTTTCACACTTAATCTCAACATACACCAATATTCAAACTTTCACCATTCATGCAAATAAATTTTTGCACATCAAACCCTAAATACCTATCATGGCCGAATTCTAGGGTGGTTCAAGGGGAATTTTTCTTAAATTTTTAAACACATGTTCATGGTTATTCTACATTACAACTTACTACACAACACTAATTCATCACAAATTTCTAATTTCAAACTCAAAATTTTCCACCAAAACATGCTTCAAACTTTCAAGACTTAAATCACAAAAATCAAACCATGGAAATAGAGATTTCTCACCTCTAATCCTTTATACCAAGCCTAGAGAACAACCTCCAAGCAAAGCTCCACGAAAATTCACAATTTCTCTCCTTGATGAATAGTGATCCGAATTAGGGGAAGAGAACATTCTTTCTACAAGAACTTTCAGCCCAAAATAGATGGTGGAATGGATTTCTTGGGTGATTTACTATAAATTTTGTCTAATG